GGCGCCCCCTTACCGGGGGAACCCCGGCCGCAGTCGCGAGAGCGTCTCCCCGCGGCGCCCGCCCAAAAGTCACGCGGCCCGCCGGTCGCTGGGCCTCTTACCCGGGCATGCACTGTCCCCATGGCTCCCTCTCCCGCCGCCGCCTCGCAGAGCTACCCGGACCTGACCCCGGCTCGGCTGCTGAGGGCAGAGGGCGGGTCCGCGGTAGCGCGGCTGTCAGTCAGTGTAACACCCACAGGGCCCCGGACGCGGCGCACGGGCGGCAGCCATGATGCCCCGCCCCCTGGCTCACGGTGCTTCCGCTCATTGGTCCTTGAGAACACGTGATCCGGATGTTCGCACGGACGCCGGGAAGCGCCGTGGGCCGCGCAAACGCAGAGCGTCCAGTGATGCCCGCGCCCCTGCCGGCGCTTGGGGCGCGGCTCAGTGTGAGGGTCCTCGCGCCCGGGAGAGAGCAGACGGTCGGTGGGTGCGCCAAGGCTTCACCCAGGGCCCTCCCGTTGCCCTCCTGGCGCCCCGGCCCGGCGGGTGCTGTGCGAGCCCCACGCCCCGGCGAAGCGCCGAGGCTCGCCCCCGGCCGCAGGGGCGGCCCAGATCCGGGTTGGCACCTGCTGCCCTCCTGTTGGCCGCCCGGGTCCTAACAGTCGCGGAAGGCCCCGAGGGTTGGCCCCTCGTTGGTGAAGAGAAGGTGAGGGTCATACCACGTCACGGGATTGGAGTCAGAGCGAGCGTGACAACGCCGGCCGCATCGCGGGGCCCTCGGTGGGCGGTGGGTCAGTCAATGGCCATCGTCCACTGAGCTGCAGCCAGTAAGTAGTAGCGAGGGTGGTCCAAGGGATGGACTGGGGGCGGAGAACAGACGGCCACGGGGCTTCATTTGGGTGGAGAAAACAGCCCCCCCCCCAAAAAAAACCCGTGTCACACGTTGTGACAAGTGCAGTGAGAAACAGCTAAGGGATAGAATAAGAGGGGCTGCCAGCATTTTGTGTCCTCTCCCTCCTGATAACAGAGCATCATTTCACCTCGTTTTCTGCCCCCCCACCCCGCCCTCTCCCCGAGTTCCTGACACCCTTTTCCATTTAAATAGCACCCAAGCCTCCCGTGTCCCTGGGGTCCAAGTAGGCATCTGCCAGGGCCCTGTCCTTCCTTCACTGCGCCCCTCGCAGCTTGACCTACCCATCTGCCCCTCCGGCTCCTGGGGTTCAGGAAACCTTCCCCTGACCACCAAAGTGAGTCTCGGTGTCTCACCACCCCCCAGCTCCACCTCAGATTTTAGGTGTGAAAACTTTGATGGAGATTTTCAAAGATAATCTAGCAGCAAATTTTAAGCACAAACCACACAAGCTGTGAATTCCTTCTGCCACTTCCCATTCCCTCATCCGTAAAACGGGGATGATAGCAGTTTCTAAGGCATGATGGTATACTGAAGATGTGACGAGATAAAGCTTGGTGCCTGGCTCACTGTAAACACTGAATAAACTAGATCTTCCTGTATTTTCTCCTTTGTTATTCCCTCGAGTAAGCGTCTTCTCAAAGGTAAGCCATGAGGTTGACCTGCAAATTGTAACAAGGGCCCTGAGCCAAATATTGGAGAGTCTGTTGGGTACAAGGCACTGGTGACGAGGTGACAGAAGACACATCAGAAACAGAGCTTCATCCTCAAACACCATCTCTTGACAGTCAAAAGGCATATTAACATATTAAAGGCTCTGAGAAGTCCTGCAGTACCTATACCTGTTTCACTTTCTTGAACTCATTGATTGGGTCAAGAGACTTGGGGTTTTGAGGCTCTTTGGCCCTCAGTGGTGTTCATCAGTAATTCTGGTGCTCCTCTTTTGGGCGAAAGGTAGGGTTGTATTTTCCTGCCCGCATCCATGTGACTTGCTTTGGTCAGCAGGTTGTAGGCAGAAGAGATACGTATGTCTGGATGACCACCTTAGAGCACCATATTCCTTTCTGCCTGTTGCCGTGATCAGTGACCCTCCAGATGGAAGGACAGTTTCAGGCTGGGCCAGCCAAGTCTGGTGGACATATAGTATGAGAAATAAATATTCTGGGGGAGTCTTTGTTAAATACAACATAACCCAGCCTATCCTAACTGATCAAATCACCTAGTGAGACCTGCAAGGACGCCAGCTTTTGAGAAAACTTGTCTTACACAGTGTGGATCTGGCCCCATCAGTAATAGAAATGGAGTTCAGTGACCACACTGGTTCCCTTCATAAAATCAAACCTCAGGCTCAGAGGTTGTAAGGAAGGGACACTGGGTCTTCCCACAGATGCCCATAGAGGTCACTCACCTCTTAGTTTGGGACACCCTGTGGCATGGGCTCTAGGGAGTGGGCTGGGGACAAGAGGCTAGATCCCAGAGGCCTTAAGTGGAGGTGGACACGGCAGGATGCGGGGGGGACCAGCTGGAGGGGGCAGGGTCAGACGGGGAGAAGGGGCTCAGTGAGTCCCTGGGTCCTGGCTCAGGCGACCTGGAAGTTGACAGATACAGGACAGCTCTGCATGGAAGGAGTTATGTTGAGGTGCTGAGTTAGGCCAAGGAATATCCAGGTGGAGGTGGCTGGGTGGGCTCGCCCCTCACCTGAGCCAGAGACCGGGTCCTCAGAGTGAGCCCCCCGGCCCCCCCAGGAGCGCTGTGAACTCTTGAGTATAGGAGGCAAGGCTGAGCCTTGGGGACAAGCCCAGCACTCAGGACAGTCTGGGGTCCCAGAGGAAGGAGAGGAACTCTAGGGGGTGGGGGGTTCTGGTCCAGTGTCCAGGACAGAGCATGTGGAGACCACCTGGCTGGTGGGGCCATCAACCTGGGGGGAGGGGGGCAGCATCTGAAGGAACCTATCTGGGAGGGAAGGAAAACAAAAGCGGGGCTCCTGAGAGAATGTAGAGACAATGGAAAATGTTTTCAAAGTCACGTTTATTATGAGTTACTTCCCAATGAAGGTAACATTTACCACAGAAATTTGAAAACCACATACAAGCACAACAGATGGACTGTAATTACAGATAATGGCGTAATGACAACCACTGTCAGCACTGGGGTGTGTACGTTCTCCACCTTTCCTCTGTACACACACACACACACACACCCACAATTTCGGGTGTTTTTAAATAAGACGAGGCTCCCACTCTGCACCAAGTTTTGTTACCTGTTCACCAAATAAAGACTGTTGCTCCCTGGCATTAACTCGACCACACAGTTATTATTCCTGACGGTGGATTGTCTTCCAGAGCATAAATGCACCAGATAAAGGAGGAGTTTTGTTTGATATGGTGGTAGGAACTGAAGAATATTGTTGTGTGCTGATCAGCAACCTCAGCAGAGCTGGAGAGGTGTGGGGCTGGGGTGGCACTAACGCGCAGGTGGGGAATGGAGCCTTGGCCATTTCTAAAAGAGTATCCTTCTTTGTCTTTGCACACGTATTTTAAAAAAAAATTATAAAACACATGCTCTTTGTGGGGTGGAACCAATTCAAAAAGTAGTAAGAAAAGCAGTTGCATGTAATCCTATCAGCTGTTGACATAATTCCTTCTTTATGGTGATCAGAGAACTAGCGTACATATGGTCTATGCAGAAATATGGCGGTTACCGAAAATACGGCTGACGCGTGCTCCTAGCTGCTGACCCGTGCTGCGCTTCTGACAGAAGACAGCTGATCAGGGAACTTGAGAATCGGGGGCTCAGGGGAAGGGGTGAGGAAGGTGTGAGGTGGGTGTCAGGCCTGGTCTCCCCCCCCCCCAGGCCAGCTCAGCAAGGAGCAGGGTCCTGCTCTGGGGCTTCAAGCGGCTGGGAGAGCCTGCCTCTCACCTGCTCTTGCCTCCTTTAGGAGGCGAGCGCTATCAGAACGGGAGCCTCAGTCCCCATGTCCCCGAGACACAGGGACCCAGCAAGGAGCCGCAAAGGGGCGGTTCTGTGTGCTGGGCGGTGGCCCCATATGCTCACCAGGAGCCTGCTTCCAGGAGTCCATAATCTCATGGCAGCTCAAGGGAACAGGCTGGCCTAGAGGCTGCCCCTAGAACCACATTTCTCTTTTTAAGGGTCTGTCCTTGTAAGGAAGTGCTGTGTCTGAACTTGCTGGTTCTTCAACTCCCAGTGTACTGACTCGGTACAGGTGAGAGATGCAGGTTGCTGTGCCAGTGTTGAGGATTTTGAGCTTATCACTGCTTCCTTTTGATTACACTCAAATGCATAAATAAGAAAAACAGCACAGTTCACCTGCAGTCACTTTACTCTGTGCTTGCCAACGAATCACACCTGGGGAGAAGGTAGGTCCCCGTCTCTTGCTCGTCTCCACTAAGGCTCTGGGAGTACAGAAGTGGGCAGGGGATGTTGAGACAAAAGGGGTGCAGGCCACAAGCCCTTCTGTTGTGCTGGGCTACTGCCTGGGCGCCCAGGGTGCCTATCTGTGCACTGAATTCTATTTTTTCATCAGGCTTCTTAATACCTCCCTAAATTCACATACAATGCAACAGATAATAAGACTCCTTTATATTTTATACAAAACTCTATCAAATATTTAAGCTAGGTCAAAAAAAGTGTTCCAAAATGTAAATAACTGAGCATCTTTTAATGGCCCACGAGCGTCAGTGCCCTCGTCGGAGAAGGCTACCACCCCCTCCCACGCCACTGACCACTTCCTGTCTGGGGAAACAGGATCACGTTACTCTTCCTTCCAAACCCCAAGACTGCACCAAGCGCAGCCCAACCCCCAGCCATAAGTACCCCCACCCACCCCCAACCCATCACAACACAGGCTATTCTAGGAACATTGCACTGGGAGGGCAGCAAGACAGTTGGCAGTGGCCCCTCCATCCTGGGCTTCCTGGTGTCATTTCCCAGCCAACAAAGCTAACAGACCCAGATGCTTAAATGTTAGACTTCCTTAAGCTCTAGACCACCACATACACCAAAAGTAGCTTCCTAGCTTTTCCTAAAAACATTAGATTGCCTTTGGTTTCAGTAAACTATAAATTCAGCACAGAGGCAGGACCCCATGTGTCACAGACATCGGGGCATTGAATGCCAGTGCGGACGTAGCTACAGAGCGATCGGGAAGTACCTGCGAAAGAATGTCCGAAACTTGTCTCCTCATGAACGCTTCTGCACGAGGACTGGGAAAGGAGGAGTCCCTCCCAGCCCCAGCCCCCAAAAGCCAGGCCAGACAGGAGGACAGGTTTGCCGAGCAGCCTCAGCTCCGGCCCCTATTGGACAGCAGGGAAGGTAGCAGTGCCTTCATGTCCCTCGGGGAAGGCTGTTGGCCGCTTGCTGGTGTCTGGGATCTGAAACGAGTGAAGAATACTAACTCAGCCGCTTGGCCTGCTGCTCTGAGGTCTTCAGCCGCAGCAAGGATGGATGGATAGCACCAGCCCACGCCAAGTGCACCTCTGGGCACTGCAGGGTGGTGGTGTCCAAAGCCACGGCGTCTTCCACCCTTCTTCCGTGCTGGGCTGATGTCACCATCCTGGGGTTCTAAGCTGGTGGCCCTCCTGCCACCTGGACCCCTCCCACTGGACGTCCACAGGCACAACAGAGCCCATCAGCTTCCTCCACATAGACCAGCTCGCCCACTGGCCTGCACTACCATCCCCAGGCCACCTCCTTCTGACCAGCTGCCCCACTCCCTCTGAATGCAGGCAGACCCCAGGGCTTGCAACTGGCATCTCCTGGCCCTAGAGCCTACGAACACCTCAGTCCCACAGGTTCTAATGAGACCAGGCCCTCCTCATCCTTGCCTGGACCAGGGCATCTGCCCTCTTGCTGGGGAGCCTGCCACCCGAGGGCCCAGTGATGAGGGCTCCTTCCCACGGCCACTAGAATCATTGCCCAGTGCAAACCAGACCCTTCCGCTCCCCTACTTTGAACCCTTCCATGTCTGCCAATAGCACTGAGACCCCATCTCCTGAGTGCCCACCACATGGCCAGTAGCATGCCAGGGGCTCCCCAAAGCCTCAAAAAAACCCAGTGAAGAGAGAAAGAACACCCACACGGAACAAGTGAGACCGTCAAGGCCCACAATTTTCAGGATTAGACCCAACGCCTGTAGCTGCAACCAGGCCCTTCTCTCTCTGAATCTGTTTTCAGAATTCAGAAGCAGCAGCATCCCAGGGGCCATGGTAGCAACGAAGGATGCTGGGTTCCACCCCAGGCACCCCGCCCCCCAGACTGCGATTCAGCAAGTGTGGGGTAAGACGAGAATCTGCATAAATAGGCACCCCCCAACCCGCAGATGAAAGGTCCCTGCCAGACCCACACACCCACAGCCAAATCATTGACCTGGAGATGGGGAAGAGCTGTGTCATCACTTGAGAACACACACTCGAGGTGAGCCACTGCAGCCACCGGATGTCCTCAGGCATATCTGGAAGCCACATCACCAGTCTGCAGGAATAAAACCAGGAGACACACACATACACACTTATCTGCATGAGAACAAGCCAACACACACACACACACACACACACACACACACACAACCAAAAACTAAGCAAAAGGTAGGTATCTTAAAACAATGTCCTTTGTCCAGCTAAACCGCCAGACTTACATCTAACCCCAATCTGATCAATCCCGGGAGGTGGATTAGGGACATGACACCAAAGACAAACCTCCCTAAAAGCCCTAAAGCAAAGTTAGGTCACTTGGGGCTCCGGAAAGCTCGAGGGATACTCAAGGAAATAAAAGGGGAAGGGTTTCCAGGCTTCTCCTCTGTGGCAAGGTACCCTCTGAAGCTGATGCAGAGAATCTCATAGTCAAGGTAGCACCTCCCCCCACCAAGCCCTGTGGCACTGGGCCATGTGCCAGCCCAGCAGACTCCCCACCCCCCAACCCCCACCCCTGCACAAAAGGACCCATGTGGCAAGCTCTGTAAATGCCTGACCAGACCTCACCCCAGGGCAGGGGTGTCGGGAGCAGGCGGCTAATTCAATAAGAGCGAGGAGGGGATCTGGGCAGGAGAATGGAGCTGGATTCTGAAGGATGGTTTGGCCTCTAAAAGATGGACCAAAGGCCACACTGACTGACTCACTAAGAAGACCGTAAACACCAACATAAATCTAAAGAGAGCAGAGGTTAAACAAATACCCAGGATTCAAGTGTGTGCCTCGTGTCCTCCCAACACCCCAGGAACAAAATCCCAAAATGAAAGTGTACAACTACTAAGAAGTGGCAAAAAGAGGTGGGCTGAGCGGGGTCCCTGTGAGGCACCTTTCAGGGTGCTCCTTACGGACCGTGGGCTCCGTCGCACTCTACAAGGAGCCAGGCCACCAGTCAAGGCCCTTACATGGATTCTCTCAATCTCCACCCAACCCCAGGAGGAAAGCACCAAGCCACACAAAGCGCTCACCTCTGGACCATGGCGATGGCAGACTCCACGGGCAGTGTGCAAGGAAGCACCATGTATGACATTACCTTAATCGGTAAGAAGTTGCAAATCTTGCTCATGTATCCACGTTGGTTTTTAACTGCTTTACTCAGTGCTGAAAAATACAATGTGCAGGTAAAAACCAAACCACCTTCCTGTGAGGCTGCTTGGATTTTCTATGAAATACACAAATCCCGGGGCGCCTGGGCGGCTCAGATGGTTAAGCGTCCGCCTTCGGCTCAGGTCATGATCTCAGGGTCCTGGGATCGAGCCCCGCATCGGGCTCCTTGCTTAGCAAGGAGTCTGCTTCTCCCTCTGCCTGCCACTCCCCCTGCTTGTGCTCTCCCTCTCTCTCTCACTCTGGCAAATAAAGAAATAAAATCTTGAAAAAAGAAAGAAAGAAAGAAATACACAAATCCCGGCATCTGAAGAATCGGAAGCACTCACAAATGAGATCAAATGAGGAGTGTGCCCAGAACAGCCCTCAGATAGCCCCCAGGATACAGGGTTCTCAGTGAACCACCCTCGTTTAAATAACAACTGTTTTTGGAGGGCTGCACAAACTTCTCGAATACCCCATCGACTTCTGAGCTTTTTCCCTGAACCTTCCGCTGGACTGTGTCTCCTGCTGCCCAGAGCCATCTGTCCTGTTAGCTCCCTTTTGTAATGACCTCCTGATGCCCCAAATCACATTTGCCCCAACAGCTGCTGGCTAGTGCAGTTAGCGCAACAGAGGTGCTAGTGCCCCGGGGCAAGGGATGACGTCCCGTGCGTCTCTGAATTTCTCCAAGTGCCCGAACGGAAGCTGGTAGGTGCACGCCTGTCCACCTAATAGTTGAGCACATGATAAAGTATATCACCACTCAACGGCGATTCAAAATTGCAGGTCTGGAGGCAGGGAGAAATCAGGGAAAGGGGGCTCCTCAAGAAAGAAGGCTCTGAGATGGGTGAACAGGCAGAGAGGGGTTCTGGAAGAACAGGCCCACCCCTGTGGCCCCCCCACCCCCACTCCCCACCCCCATCATTCAGTGTGTGCGGTTCACTCAAAACAGGCTCAGCTGGAGTCTGCTCTCCTCTGGCCATGACCCCATGGGAAAGGAGACTGAGCACAGGCCTGTGCCAGGAGTGGGGGCCCCAACAGGTCTGCCCTCTTGCTCCGCCCCACCTCCCACATGAGGATTACCTTCCTCCACAGCACCTAGAGTAAAAGCCCTTTCAGTTTCTGTGTCTCTCTTTCTCTCTGTGTGTCACAGGAAAACCACCTCCTCTGTCAGCCCGCCCCCCTGCAGAGTCAGCACCTGCCGTGAGCTTGGGCGACAGTGTGTCCAAGATGCTCTCATCCCAGGGCAAGATGCTGAGACGCAGGTGGTCCAGCAGCTCGTCTCCCTTAGGCTTCATCCGCCCTGCAGCCGCCCTCGGGGGAGATTCCAGGCTCCTGTGTCCCCAGGTGAATTTAAGGATCTTCAACTCCGCTGAGGGTAAATTCAGGCATGGATGGGGCCTGTTGCAGATGCCTACCAAGGACATGGGAAGCCAACCACCAAGTGAATGTGGGCCTCAGGGGGTCATTACTCACGCAGCAGCCCACCCGCAGAATGACAGGAACCCAGTAGGCAAGCGCCCAGGAAGCTGCAGGCCTGTTATGGGCCAAGCAGGAGGTGGGAAGAAATGAGGGCGGGCGTTTGGGCTTGTGTAACAGAGAGAAACAAGTGTGGGGTTTTGAAGCCAGAGACATGTGAGTTTGGCTCTGGCTCGATCACTCACTTAGCTGTGTGCGCCCCACAGCCACAGGCGGATTTATGAAGGTGAAAGATAAGAATTACAACTGATTTATAATAACTGGACCACCGGTGAAGCCCGTATTCCAGGCCCTGAGTTAGGAACTTCATAATAATTACGACCATTTCCACTGGTCTCCGCTCCTCCACTTCAGCCGAGAAATCAGAAGCACAGAGAGGTTAAGAGACTCACCCAAAACCACACAAGCCAGTGAGTGGAAGAGCAGAATTCAACCCCAGGTCTGACATTAAAGGTGACACTCTTCCGCTGTGGGGTTTTGAAAGCAGCACTAGGTAAGGGAGTTTGGGCAGGCTCTGCCCTAGGTGCTGGGGCTCAGTAGCTGATACCAGTGAGTGGTTCCTGCTCTCACAGAATTGGCAAGCTGGGCTGAGCAGGTGCCCACGCTGCCCCCTGGCTCCCCTCCTGCTCCCAACCTCTGGTTAAAAAGACCAGGGGCTGTTCCCAGATGCCTGTGCCTTGTTCCCCAGGTTAATCTTCACAGCACCCTTGAGTTCCGGACCCTGGCCAAGCCTCCGGCTGCCTCCCTGGCCCCCGGGGAACGACCAGCATCCACACCGTGCCAGGGGCCTTCAAGGCCTCTGCTCCCATAGATCTTTCCCGCCTTGATCAGGCACCCTCCTCATCTTCCAGGACTGTGCCATCCCTTAGGAGTGTTTCCAAGAATCTCTTCCTGGAATCTACTCACTTAGATCTTTATAGACTCCAACCCAACACAGAGGGTGCCAATGCCAGTCTTTAGAATTACCAAGAATCCCCTCGATACAATTTAATCCACAATCCCCTTGCTGCAGGGTGGGCACAGAGGCTCAGGGAAGGAGATGGTTTGCCCAAAGTCATCTAAGTTAGGAAAGTCACTGTGTCACGTGAGTGCACCCCTAAGGGCTCTGCCGCTGTCCCGGATTCCCAGATTCCTTCCAAATTCCATTGCACTCCCAGCCCCGACGGCTCTGCAGGACTTCAGCCTCTGACATTAGCTTCCTCCTGCACAGCTGCCCCAGAAATGGCCCTGGGGCACTGCACCCCCACCCAGCCCACACACAGCACACCAGCCTTCCCAAAGAATGCGTTCCCTTCCCTTCCCAAGAGCCCTGAGCCAGCGAGCAGGGCACGCCCGCCCCGGCTGTGGGAGCCAGAAGCCAGTACTTCATTCCTGAGTCTGACCCTTCCAGAATCTCTGACTGGTCACCTGCGAGTCCTGTTCCCTCGGGCCCTTTGTACCGCCCTTACTGCCCTGGCCTTGGCCGACCCTCCAGCTGCCTCAGGGGTCCCCTGGAGACCACCATCTCACCCTCTCCCCATGCAGCCAAAGACCTCCGCTGACCTCCCTCACTCCTGCCTCAGTGGCCCTCAGTGGCTCTCTACCGTTACAGGACGCAGACCCCTGTCGTGTCCACCAGGCCCAGCCCTGCCCCCGCCCCCCGCTGCCCATCTCTCAGTGTCGCCTACCCCCGCCACTCCAGTTACATGTGCCTTCTTTCCCTCTTCCAGCCTTACTACATGCTTTGTGGCCTGCAAGCCTCTCACTCATGTCGCCCACGCCTAGAACGCTCCCATTCATCTCAAAGTTACAACAAGGATTCACATCCTCCCGAAGCCCTACTTACCGCCCCCCCCCCCCCCCCCCCCCCGCCGGGCCATGCAGATCCCTCCCGTGTGATCCCACAGTGTCCTGTAGCTTCCTATCAGGGCACTTGGCACACGCCGTCCTTCCACTTGCTTCTCTGCCCACCTGACCCGCAGGCTAAGCTCCCAAGGGGCAGAGACCACATCTGCCTCTTCCCTGTGGTATCCCTGGCACCGAACCAATGGCTCAGCATCTTGAAGGTGCACAAGCAACATTTTCCCAGTCGAAAAATACATGTATGTCCTTTTAACCACCACTCCTTGGTCTTCGCCAAAGACTAATTCAGAGAAGCAATAGGGAAACCAACTTTTAGTCTTAAAGACAATCCATCTAATACTGGCGAGAGCCCAGCTCCCAGCGCCCAGACCCGCGGATGACCCAAAGGCAGGAACCTACTCCAGAAAGGATAGCTGGGCTCATGGGTATGACCCCCGCCTGGCCAGAGACAAGGTCAGGAAAAGCTCTAGCCGGATCAACTTGGTTCTCTGAGAGGTAAATGCCAAGACAGGATTAGACCTACGAGAGGCTTACTGGGGAGAAGCATATAAGGATTCTGATGGTTCCACTTGGGGCTCAGGGCCAGAAACCCTGCTTAAACTCCCTCCCTTGTTAATCTAAGATTCAAAATAGTTCACACACACAAGAAGAACCAACAGGACTGCCTTCACTGTTCGGACAGGGGATTACTGAGGGAGGAGAGAGCCGTGGGGCAGGGATACCCCGCGGCCGAGCCCCAGCTCTGTCCCTCGGTGGGGTCCCTGGCTCGCCGCCATCTCCCCATTTGTAAAATGGGGCCAAGATTTCCTATCTCCCAGGGCGAATGAAGGGGCTGAGCAAGGTGCCAAGTGAAGACGCTGAGTGCCGAGTTTCTACCAAACACCAGCCTCCAGTGACCGCTAGCGACAAGCTTGTTCAAAGGCCGTGTCTACCCTCACCTCGTCCATACGTACCGTTCTCCTCCAAGAACCTCAAGGCGTCTAAGTACCCGCGAAGGCATATCTCGCCAAGCACCTGCGACAAATCAAGTAAGGTAACTGCGGTGCAGAGTCCAAGAGCAGAACCCTCCCTGTTTGGAACTGCTCCCATGGCCCAGCATGGCCACAGCAAGGCCGCACACAGGGCTCCATGCTCCTGAGAGACAGAAGTCCACTTCCACACGGGACTAGGCTCGAACGACACCCCCTCCGCAGAGACTTTGCTGGCAGCCCAGCGTGACAGGCACTGACTTCCCTAGGCTCCCTGGGTCCCCGGACGAGCCTCCACCCTCACAAATATGGGGGCCTGTTCTAGTTGTCACGGGACAATTAACAGCGGCCTCCTCCACTCGTCTGGATACAAACCACACATGCAAACCAATGCACAGCCTCCCCTCTCTCCTGGAGTACATGCTGTCGGGGTACAGCCTACATGCTGCCTTCCTTCTCCTGGAGAACCATTAGGGTACATGGTTCACACCTTTCCTTTTTATTAGGGAGATAAGACCTCCTACAACAACAATCAAGAAAGATTAAACCACCAAATGCAGTGTGGTTCTTGACCACACTTGCAAATACGAATCATCAGGATACCTCCAAAAAAAAAAAAAAAATCGCACTGCCCAGGCTGCACCCCAACTACTTAAATCATAGCCCAGGGATGTGGGATCTGAGCTGCGGGGTTGTTTAAATCTTCCCAGGTGATTCCAGTGGGCAGAGTGGGGCAGCCTTGAGCTGCCGGGACCAGAAACGCTTCTCTGAGTTCCTATTTGATGAGGGGGGTCTGTTCCTGTTTGTGGAAAGGACATTTGGGAGCTATCCTGGCAAACAGGGCAGCAAAGAAGAGCTGCACCCCCAGAACACACAGCCCCCAACTCACCTTGAGATCCGGAGGGAACAGTGCTCGCATTAGTAGGTAGGCATTCTCAGAGCAGAGGCGCAAACTGAGCTTGGTTAGGTCTACGTGAAGAAAGTTCGTCGACGTGACTTTAGGGCAGATGTCATACTCCCCATAGAAGGGGGACACAGTGATGGTCGTTTTGGCATCAAAGAAGGGGACATTGTCACTTGCTCCTCCATCCATGTATCGCTTTTACGGGGAGGAAGAAAGGACATACTGTCAGAAGCTCTGGGCTAGTGTCTTCGGTGTTTTTCTAGATTATGGGTAGAGGCTTCTCAGAGCCGCAGGCTGATATTGTGGGAAGACAAGGTTCCAGAACTACTCTTTCAACAAAGCTTTACTGAGCATTTCTATGCCAGGCCAGGCTCTGGGCTGGCACTCAAGTGTGCTATATACTGTTGTGTAGTTCGTGCACTGCACAAAAAGTACCTGGCAAAGAGGCAGACAGAGGCTGGAGCCCAGCCCATAGTTCGCTGGCCAAGTCCGAAGCCCAGGCGGGTACCTATAGGTGTGCCCATGTAATCTGCACAAAAGGGGCCGTATAAAGCAGGGGCTCTGTGTGCACGGGGGACAGAGTATGATATAGACCCTGCCCTCAAAGAGACAGAAGGTCATGGGTTCAATTCCAGACCTCCCTTGCTGCTTGGAAAATCAGAACCAGCACCTTGAGGAGCTTTGGAGGCTTAAATGGCAGTGAACCTGGAACCAGGGCAGCCTTTGGAAAACCTCCGCTGAATCCACAACCTAGTGGCATTTGAGATCAGCTACCGTAAGCATCAGGCTTCCTATATCCATACCCTTTGACAACCTTAGGCTGGCACAAGCAGGGTTGGGTACAATTTGGACAAAGTCTTGGACCGCTCAAAGCAATGTCTAGAATGATTCCCAAATCCGAGGCCGTCCCAGCCCAGCTGTCGGTGCCCACAGAGAAAGGCCTTCAAGTATCACAGCCAGTCCTTCCCGAGACCTAAAGCAAGTCCAGAGAAGAACCACTCATGCTAAGCCACGCCTTAGCTATCCAGAGAGTCTGGCCTTGAGTCCAAAAGATGATCAGGCACGTACACAGTGGTATTTTCAAAATCGTAGCCACACAATTTCCACGGAAGATGAAAGGAAGCCTCAGAAAACTCCCTGGCAGAAAGGGACATGGATCAGAATGTCGGGAACCTTAGGGAACCCTAAGGGAGGAAGCAGGCTGACTGTTTCTCACTCAAGGGAGAGTCTCAAGTCTGATGCACCTTGTCACATGGACTTTTCCCTTCCATTCCAAATTTCCCTATAGTAACGTTCTGAGTTTGCTTGGTGGAATCAAGAAGGAGCTGTTCTGATTCTCCGCGGGTTTCACTGGAGTGTACTGAACGTGCGACCGCCCCCCCCCCGGGAGGGGGTGCTGGGGCAGCCTGGGTGAGGTGGGCAAGATGGTAGAAACAGCCCCCACTTTCTGAAGACTCCCCCGTGCCAGGCCCTATGCCAAGCACCTCAAGGCCCTGGCTCGTGCGAGCCTCATGACACCTCTACGACGCTACATTATGACGAACCCTTGTTTTGCAAAGAGATCTCAGAGAGGTTAAGAAATATGTCCAAAGCAGTCCAGCTAACGTATGTTGGAGGAGGGATTCGGTCCTGGTCTGTCTGCCAGGCAGAGGCCGTGGGCATCTGGGGTGACCCCTGCACTGCTCCGGACCTGTTTTCTCATCCAGAAGCAGAGACAATGTGTCTGTCGCGGGGCTGCTCCTGGGCGCGAGTGAGGCTCTCAGTGTGACATGCCTCTTCCTTTGCCCCACAGCACGAGGACGCCACCACCCTGGGACATTCGGATGTCGTGTCTTGTCTCTCCAGACAGGATGTCTTAGCTTGGCACTACTGATGTTTAGGAACAGGTCATTCTTTGTGGAGAGGGCCGGCCCGCGCCCTGCAGGGTGTCAGCAGCACCCCGGGCCTCGACACACAAGGCGCCAGGAACACTCCCCCAGTTGTGGCAACCCAAACTGTCTCCAAACACTGTCCCAGGGTAGGGGAAGGGGGGGCGGGCAGCAGAATCACCCCGAGGGTGATCACCATGGCCCTAGAAGGAGTCTGCCAGTGGCCCAGCATCGCCCGGCATCTAGTCCAAAGCCGGCAGAACACACACTACAACCTGGGTCTCTCCATTCCAGGCGGGGCTCAGCAATCGGCCACAACACATATTTGTGGGATGGAACCAAATTGAAGCCCTGTCAGCAGCTTCTGCCCAAAGCCATGGGCCAAAAAGGAGAAAGGCAGACCCAGACAGGCTGCAAACTCTGAAGCGCTGAAAATAAAGCTCTACCCTAAGCAAGGAACGGACTCGTAAGCACCTTGGAGTTTAACCAGGCCAGCAGGACCTATCTGGGGTGCTCAGGTGAAGATTAAGTGAATCAGCTTACCTTCTAGATAGCGAGTTAATTAATTCTACATAAAAGTGGCCATGCTGCTCAGGCAGCCTAGAAGGGGGCTAGCTGGGGAGCCTCCATCTGAAAGGCCAAGAGGCAAAAGGCTCTGCATTTGGGGACAGGCCCCCTGCGGCTGGTGCCCTGCGGGTATGGGCTGGGCAGACAATTTAAAAACAGACTCACCACGCCTCTGAAGGAAGGAGGGATTATGCCGCAGAAGAAAGGGATGAAGCTGGAACAGAGCAAGGCCTACAAAGACAGAAAGACGTGAGACCAGAGGCCCGAACAGCCTGCCTTCTGACCTCCTGGGGGCCTGCATTAAGCCTTCTCCAGGTGAACAGAGCAACAGGCCTAAGATGCTCTTTGCAAAGGGGATGGGTTAATAAACAAGCTGAATGAATGACAAACCGAACTGCATACTTGTATTTCAGGCCTAAGTAAAAGCTCCTAATGACACTGTGGACATCAACTTCCTGTCCCTCTCCCCACAAGAGCTGTACTGGGCCCTTGCAGACGCCACCCAGAGGACCCAGAGTCGCTGACTGACTGGGAAGACACCAGAGCAGGGTTTTGCAAAAAATTGACTGAATCACCCGGAGGGCTGGCCAACCACAGACTCCATGGCCCACCCCAGCATTCTGATGCAGCAGGCTGGTGGGGCCCGAGAGCCTGGAAGCCGGCGAAGTTTCTGGATGCTGCTGATGCTGTGGGTCCTGGCCGGGGGTGGGGGGCGGGGGAGGCAGGAAGCAAGACCGGCCCACTGAGAAAACCTACTCCTGCGGGAATGGACCAGTGCTGGCTATCTAGAAAAAAGCTTTTGGAAACAAGCTTAAATAGAGGTGGACCGTGGCTGCTGAGATGCTCCTGGTTATATGTGCCAGGAATATATATTGTGGGAGGAGGGACACATATGGGACAGGGTCTCTGGAGGAGGGGATCAGGAGCCAAGTCTTGAAGGACGGGGAGGTAGTATTTGAAACTGAAACCAACCAGGGCCGTTCCAGGATATACACAGGCCATAGACCACCGACCACCGGATGCACACAGAGTGGTGCAGGAAGCAAACCAGCATCTGGGCAGCCAGGGTCTTTTGCATCTTAAGAAATGACGCAGGTGGCCTACGGCAGCCCTCTCTGTGTTGCTTCCAAAAGGAAATAGCTTTTCTTACTTGACAAGGCCCAAATAAGCAAACTGCTTACGTCCACAACTTCATCTTTGGACTGAAAATCAGACACCAGCACATTTTCCCCATCGGACACCCTGGTGAGCGAAATGCACATTTTGCCAGAGATGAGCCTGTGGATGTTGTCTGGGAGGTGTCGCTGAAGACTTTTTTGGATGTGCCTGCCCAAGTTGAAGGAGGGGTGGAGGATGCCAATGTTCCGGCTCCTGGCGCTCTGGACAATGTCCACAAGGATCTGCATGAGGAGGTCTGGAGGGCAGGAGACAAATACACAAAGGACTGTGCTACCCCGGAGATGGAAGTGCTCTGTGGCAAGACCAGACACCAGGTGGCAAGGAAGTGGCCAGCCTTCTTCCAGGCCGGCACTGATACAGAAGTCACGCGAGGCCATGGGTCCCTTCAAATGCGGCCATTCCCATTTGAGGTGTGTAAATGGCACACTGGAATTCAAAGGCTTCATAAAAAATAAAATAAAATAAAATAAAATAAAATAAAATATCTCCTTAATCATGTTTTATATAGATTAGATGTGAAAATGATAATGTTCCGGCTGTACTGGGATCAACGAAATTAATTTCACTTGTGTCTTTCACTTTTTTCAGTGTGGCTACTGAGAAATATTCAATGACATACACAGCTACACTGTATTTCTCCTGGACAGCGCTGCTCTGGGTCCCGCCACAAGAAGGAGCCTCCCGAGGTGCCCAGGGGTGCTCTCTCTCCCCTCCATCCTCCAAAGCCAGAAGCGGAAATGCCTCAGCATCAGAGCTTTAGCACAAAGGACCTAACACTGCAGGAAGCAGAGACTCAGTGCAGCCTGGGGCCCAAGGGCAAGTCCACCTCCTACTAGCCAAGCGACCTCAGAAAGTCACTTCACTGCCCCTCGCCATCTTAGACTGTGCATTTTCAGCTTTGGGGACAGAAGGGATTAGATTCACTACCATCTGTAAGGTCCTCAACCCAGAGACGGCTTCTAATCAAGAACTAGACTTACCCTTAAGCCTCTGACACCAGAATTACCACTGTCTAATGGGCATGGGCCACATTCATGCCCCATCAAGCCTCACTCACAGACCTGGACCCCCTCCGGCTGATCTACATTGCCCTGACATGCAAGACCACCAGTCTCAGCCTGAGACCGAGCCCGTCACAAATCCTGAGATGCAGAAGGACAGCCATAAGCCAGCCTGTCTTGGAAGACCTCTGACCTCAACTCAACTCTCCCTGTGCGTGTGGCCCTACTGAGCCGGGGCAGAAGGGGCAAAGTTGCAGACAGTTGGCTCGTTCTGCCAGGCTTTTCTGCTGAGTACTTGGCTTGGAAGCACTCGCAGGAACTCTTTCCAAGTTGTGGCCCTAGGAAATGCTCCTCAGTGGTCCCCAAATGAGACAGGAGTTTAAAGCAGGGCTCCTGGAATTTGGGGAGTGGCTCCTGCCAAAACCTCCAGACCCCACTTTCCAAGGACCTCGTGGTCCCCAAGCCTCCCCCTGCCCTACAGGGTACAGACCCAGGGGCACCTGTCCTCTGCCAGTTAGGAACCCTGTCTATACTGGAGTCAGTGCAGGTTACCTTGACATACAAGGCCTGTCTTTTATCTCTGCCAAAGCCCAGAGTGTGCAGATGGGCCACGGCCGGTCTAATCCTCCCTGAGGCCACATCTCCTGCCCTTTGCTCTCCTCCCAGCAATGGAAAAGCCAGCCAGGGCCTCTCTCCTAATCCCCACCTCCCAGCCAGCCCAGGGTCTGCTCACCAATCCTATCCAATCCTAACTAATCGCAGGGCTGCACCTACTGGCAGGGGACTCCAGGCCACACAGGAACAAAAGTCACTCCCTGCTGGTGGAGTCCAACATATCAGTCCCCAGGGAAGAGCAGAGTAAATTGCTAAGGAAGCTGAACAGGAGTTGATGAGGAGCACTCTCCTCCTGTCTGGGGATCTTTGGGTGCCAACATCTCCAGCTGCCACTTGTCCCAGGTCCTAACCTCCTGGCTCAGAACCCCAGGCCACACCCCTGTTTGGGCCGTCTTGGTACAAGCCCCATATCGTCCCCTCCCACCACCACCCACATAGATGTTTAATTTGCACAAGATTCAAATGCACAGGACCTCATTTCCAGGGGCAACAAGCAGGGTGGGGGTGGGCGGTAGGATGGTATAGGGGATGTCCAGAGATCCACTCCAGCCCCTAGGAAGCGTCTAGTAGCCCCTCCAAGCCCCCATCTCCCAACATTCCCCCACCCCACCATGGCCCTTCGACTCCAAACCAGTAGGCCTGCCCAGGAGGACTCCGAAGAGTTGCCCTCCCCCGGAAAGGCTATCCAGCTCCCCACCTCCCCCGGGTTGGGGGGCCGGGCGTGTCTCCAATCCCTGTAGTCGCCAGAGGGAAGACAGCGCCCGCCCAGGGACACAGGCCAATGCCCCCCTCCTGGTCCGACCCAGGGCAGATCGCCCAGCGCCTCGAGAGCTGATGGCAGGGACCTCAGGGACCAGCTCCACCCTGCGCCCCCCGGGTCCTGCTCCCTCCTCCGCGTTGCTCCGTTTGAGCTCACTCTCGGTCCCGGGGCGAGGGGCTTCCTGCAAGCCCAGGCGCCAGAGCCGGGTTGGAGTGCGGATACGCTCGGGGTTCCCACACCCAGAAGAGCCAAGCCCAGGCGCACCCCCCTCCCAGGCTGGCGACAGAGAATCCCCGGCGCCGGGCGAGAGGACGCGGCGGAGGTAGCATCTGTCTGGGGACGGGCCCCCCCGGGGACGCACCCCGCGGTGTCCGTTGTCCCATCCCAGCTCCGCGCGACGCCCCGGCGGCGGCCCCGGACGTACCGAGGGAGATCCCGGAGAGAAAGACGACGGCGTGCAGCGCCCCGGCCGAGGAGCCGAACAGCATGCGCGCGTCGCGGATGAGGTGCGGGGCGTGCTCGCTCAGGCAGCGGGTCGCCCCGATGTGGTAGAAGCCCAGGAAGCCGCATCCCGAGAAGGACAGGCTCCATCCGCGCTCGGGGTCGTACATAGCGGCGGCGCGGCGGGGGTCTTGGTTCCGGGGCTCGCGGAGGGAGTCGGCCGCGCCCCGCCGCTCGCGGGGGACCCGCGTGCGGGTCGGGATCTGGGGACGGCCCCGCGCCGCTCGCCGCCCGAGCGCGCCTCCGCCCGGCCTGCGCGCCGCCGCTCAGGCACTCCCTGCGTGACGTCAGCCGGCAGCCCCGCCCCCTCGGGCCAGGCCGTCGAGCCGCCGGCCCGCCCAACGGGCACCGTGTTCGGGGCGCCCCCCCACCCCGCCGCCGCCACCTCCATCGCCGCGGGGTGCTGCGAGGGGCCTGGGGCCCAGGGCGGAGGAGGGAAGAGGACCTTGCCGCCAGGTGGGAGTTGGAGAGCAATTGTCCATCCCCCCCCCCCCCCCCGACAGACAGCTCCCTTTCGGTTCCTTGTCATCCCTTGAGTCAGGGAGAAAGTGAAGGTTGCCCTTTTAGGTTCTTAATATCCTTTGACACTATCCTTTCCCTTTTCATACAGGACAGCAAAACCTTAAGCAGGCACCAGAATCTAAATAGAATTGATGGCTTTGCTTGATTTTCCTGCAGTTTTCTGTAAGATGGCTTCAACTTGTGGCAGGTGGTAAAGATAGTGACATGAAGTTTCCATTTCAAAGTTTCACTTATAAGTAAAAATTGGGAATGACTGGTGTGGGGTTGGGGGCGGTGCAGGAACGTAGGAGTCTGGCAGGCTGGGGCTTAAATCATGGCTGGAGCCCTTAGGAAGGTGAAGTGCCTAAGTTGTCCCTTGGCCTGTGTGCACCACACAGAGCATTTCCACAGCAGCCTGGGCAAGGAGGTTGGGTGTCTGTCCAGACTTACACAGCCAGAAATCTGGGTCTCCTGGGCCACCCTACTTCCTGTTGATGTGGACAGAGATAGCCCCCTCCCCCTTCCACAAAGGCCAGGGTGGGGGGAGTGCAGGGAGTGTGGGCTTTGGAATCAGGCCCCCCCCTTTCTGTGCCTCAGGGTCCTCATTTGAAAATGGTAGAGTTGCAGTCAGGATTCAAAATGTCACCTGTGCGGCACCTGGACACATGGGTTGTGCCTGACGTCCCCACCCGCAAAGCTTCCCAAGTCCGAGGCATCCCCCTGCTGTTGCTGAGCCTGTGCCTACAGGGATGGATGGGAAACTGGGAACAGGGCAGAGAATTGCCCAGTATGCTCATATCCAGCTGGGGTCAGACAAGGTGATGCCCCACCTTCTTGTTTCAGTTCCCCTGCTGTAAACAAGTATCCTTCTTGTGATCTGCTGATTGATTTCACATTGTTGTGCTCTTTGTTGGTGATATTGCTATTTGAAATGGCCCTATGGGG